TTGCAAGTCATCTTTGACAGAAATATTCCATTTTTTGTTTAAACTCGCTCAGAAAAGAGAGGTAAAGCGCGGGTTGTGCTTAGTAGGACGGAAATTAGATCAGAAACCCTACTATTTTTTTTCCTTTGGTTTGTTTTTTTCCGTCTATCTTGTTTTCCGTGCTGAGCACCAATGCTACCGACGTGCCAGGAAGGCAGCTCCCACACCTGGACCCTACCTATCGACCCATCAACTCATGAACCGGGGACCAACGGCTTTACTTCCCATCCGAAGGAAGGCGTGATCAGAGATGTTATGCCTCAGAACATCCCGGCGGCGCCGATTGGTATTGAACCCAGGCCTGCTGGGGTGAGAGGTAATCACGCTTACCACTACACCACCGGCGCCGTTGAATATCATGTACTAAGTATGTGAAATTACGATAGAAATCATTCCATATCACAGTCATAGTTTTAACTGATAATCCAATGGAATCTATCAATCATCACATAGAATGAATAAATCTTATGACATTGCTATGTTATAAGATGGATCCAATAATCCGTACATGTCGATTTTTTTTTTCAGTGTAAATGCCCCTAATTTGAGCCCATACCTAAATTCAGCAATCGACCAAATTTTCAATAGCGACCAAAAATATCCATTAGTATTCCCGAATGACGCGTTCATCTAGATAAAACTGATAAATAGCAAATTTTTAGTGATGGGCCCAATCTTAGATCTATAGGCCAACATTAGAGCCATTTTCCCTACTTAAACTTATCATGTTTGTATTAATTCATGCGTGAAGTTAACGATTTACACATTTACTTCAACTATGTTCCTGATATGATTAATCGACTGCTTTCAGGGCAACACTGCATCTTTTATTTATGATATAGTAGCCTGGATGTTTTGCCTTACACTTCGCGAAAAGCACACCAATGTTGAGTGCTGAGTAGTTTTTTTTTCGTTAATCATGTTATGTATACAGGCTCAATAGAATAAGCTTTACAGCGCCAAGTTATCATTTGTGATGTACATCCCAAGTAACACTTGCAACATCTTGCATGAAAAATAAAAAAAATCCAGTTGTAAATAAGTTATATGTTAATTGCCTTTAAAACATCCTGTTTTAGACGCGTTGTATTGTTGTTTGTGAAGTATTCAACCTTTTTGACAAGCACTTGTTATCATGAAGTTATAATTCGATATTGCATGTCTCAATTACCAGTTTATAACACATTTATAACTGATTGTATTTGGTGAAAACTGGCAAGACTTATTTACAACATGTTTTCATATGTCATTGTTAGAAACATGAATCCATCTGAGATATAACTTATTTATAACATTTTATTAATAAGTTATATTTCAGATGTACTCATGTTTCCAAAAATGACATGTGAAAACATGTTGTATATAAGGCTAGCAAGTTTTCATTAAAAACTATCAGTTATAAAAGTGTTATAAATAGGCAATTGAGAGTTGCCATACCTAATTATAACTTCAATAAACGATTCAAGTAAAGTTCTTGTTGTTCGTGTTATAAACATGTTTTGATAACAATTATGAAATTTCTCAATGCATACTACAAACTGCACTACAATATGGCTGACCAATAAAGCAATGTACAGAATGAAAAAAAAACATTTAATTTGTACTTTCAACATCACATGTACGTTTTGTAAAAGAGAAAAGCAAGATAATTTGAAAACAAAGTTGATATTCTATTTGTTTTTGTTTTTTTTTTGCAAAGTTGGGGAATTTTATCCGGGATATTTTATGCAATTCAATTTGTTAGATTAAGCTTTTTTAAGAGCCAATGAGTTTTTAAGAAGTAGAATGTATAGCTTTACCATAAATTTGCAACCGCATAAATGTTTGCAGTACGGAATCTCAGTTTAGGCAGTTTATTCGCAAGATAAAATTCCTCCGAAGAATATGTTGTGTAAATTGATGATAAACAAATTCCATTCATAGGAAGGATGAAATTAATTTACAACATGTCCAAAACAGTAGGTTGCGTTATAGTCATAAATAAGTTGCGCAAGTCAAGCATATGTTATATATAGATCCCACCTCTTGCGCTTTTTTCGGTATAAATAAGTTGTATATAAGTGACTAGACGTAAATGTTTACCGCTGATTTTGTCATGTGGGTCTTGTGCAGTATGAGTTCGCATCCAAATGAGATTTGGGAGAATTTCCATGTACGGATGTGAAATAGATTGAGCTTGGGGAAGCAAAATCAATATTTTGAACCACCCTACTGGTCACACTGGAGAGCCCTTGAGCGATATTCTAGCTTTACCTAAAATCCTGAATCAATATTTTGGTATATAGTCCTTTTATTTCATGAAAAAGGAAGTATTTAACCGTAAGCCGTTAACCGTTGAACTGTACTCTAGGATAGAGTGGATGGTTTAGAACATTCCTTATATTTTGTTGGATTTGTGCTCGCTTTTTTATATTACCGTATGCATGATAATGTTTGCACCATCGTACAAATAAGGCTCCTGTTTCACCTGCGCATACAATGCCTTGGTTTTATTTGCATGCTCGTAACCGAGGGGGGTGACACATCTAAATCTCAATACTAGATGCTCAAAAAATTTCACACTAGCGAATCAATCTTCGAAAACTCTTATTTCAGTTCTCGCATCTACTTGCATCTACTTGCATCTTTTTGCATCTTTTTGTATCTTTTTGCAGGAAATCTGCAGAATCGTCTTTTTCTATTTATCTATTCTATCTAGCCACAGCAAAACACAATCTTTCCTGCAACGTAGATAGAGTCGTCCCCCTCGCACGTAGCCTATAGCTCATACCGTAGTAGGCTGTGTATAAAATAAAATGATTTACTTAGTTTGACAGTTGCACCATGACGAAGTGGCAGCGTATTCGTGATTTGTCCCACGCGCAAATGTCGCAAAAAGACATTTCAATTGCCGTGGGAGTGTCCCGGTGGACCGTCAAAAGGGTTTTAAATCGAGAAAAGAAAGGACAACTATCCGCGAAGGTGGTCACAGGTCGTCCGAGGTCAGCTCGAGTTCCGAGAGTTATCGCTGCTATCAAAAGGAAGATTCGGGTGAATCCCAAAATAAGAAAAATGGCAAAGGAACACGGGATCAGTGACTTTACGGGGGCACGGAAAAAAAAAACTCACATGATTACCAACCGACTCCGGGAGCTACGAGTCGAACGAAGCAAGAAAATCTTGAACTTCCTTAAGCGAAAAAATCCGGTAATCCTGTTCACCGACGAGTGCATGTTTACTGTCGATCCCGTATCAAATTCCAGAACCGACCGGTATATTAGATCTCTTCCGGTAAAAGACGTGGCCGACGATCACAAGAACGTGTATCTGACCAAGCATCCTGCTAGCGTTATGGTGTTTGGATTGGTGGCTTCCGATGGCAAAAAAAATGGACCCAGTGTTCATTCCAGAAGGCAACAAGGTCAACACGGAGGTCTACATCGGGATTTTAAGTAAATATGTTCTTCCGTGGATCAAAGAACAGTACGGTCCGAAGCCAAATGTTGTATTCCAACAAGATGGGGCTCCGTGCCACACCTCTAACCGCACTCAGAAGTGGTTGCAGGAACATCTTCCGATATGAGCGAAGAATATGTGGCCGCCATCCAGCCCCGATCTTAATTCGCTGGATTACTCAATATGGCGCGTCATGAAGGCCAAGACCTGTTCTAAACGCCACCCGAGTACAGCAAGCCTCAGACAAACATTGACCTGTACCTGGAGAGAAATGGATCCAGAATACATTATTAGAACCTGCCGTGCATTCCGGAAGCGTGTGGAGGTCGTAATTGCAGCAAGTGGAAACTCGATCGATGATTAACATTGTTTAAGACTTTGAGAAACATCCTACCTTTGAATAAATAAAAAAACCCGAAATCGAAATTTTTTAGAAATTATTTAATTTTGACATTATTTAATGATGCAAATATTATCACGCATACAGTATATTATATTAAATTAAAATTAATTTTCAATTAATCAATTATAATATAAAACAATTCTAGTAAAATTAATATAATTTGATAATAGTAATAGAAAAAAAAACAAATGTACCATAAGAGCCAATGTTAAATAAGAATATTAAGAGATAGAAAAAATGTTTTTTTTTTAAATTAACTCAGATACAACTTTTGTCTCAGAGCATTTTCTTTATTTTAAAAAACACACAAATTAGTTTATGGACTTCAAATAGTTTGAAGAAATCAAAGATTTTATACCTCTAAAAATCCCGACGGTGCCGACTGGGATTGAACCCAGGCCCATTGAAGCGAGAGGCAGTTACTCTTACCACTACACCACCAGCGCTGCTGTGTCTAATTAGTCATTCAACCAATATTTGTTGTGAATCTAGATAAAACTCATAAGAATTATCCAAGAAGCTCGTTTTACTTACATTGGAAGAAATTTAATATTTGAAAAGACATTCCTGAACTTATTTCAAAAAGATCGATGAAAATCTAATTATTTTTATTCAAAGACACTCATGCAGAACGACCCATGTTGTGTATATGCAAAAGAAGTCTCAAAACCACTATAGGAATGCATTATTTATCGTGAAGTCCATTAGGCTCTCAACGCCGATCTTTGAACTTTGCTTTGATTCATTCTTCACTTCCTTCAAGTCTCTTTTGTCCATTCGTTATTTTGTCATCTTAGGTTTCATTGAACTCGCTCGTTCATTCTCCAGTGGCATGTTATTTGCATAGTTAAAAAAATAAAATTAAATACGCACCCAGCCATTCAAACCACATGTCAAAAAAATCAACGAAAATAGTACTAATATTGATTTACTCATTGAGATATTTTCGGAACCGTCAATTCCTGTTCAGAACAATTTGCTTGTGAGTGCACCGTTTGAAAGATCCGTCAATTCCTTCCGATATTTCTATTTTAACTCTGCTTCTAATGTACATTTTTTGCGTCAAGCTCAGTCGTAAATTTATAAAAAAAAATCGTCACAAATGAACACCAGAACACCGTACCTGCTCCCTTCGTGATGTTTTCATACCGGGTCGAAAATGACACCACCAGGCTTGTCATCTTGTCTTGCTTAATATCTAACACAAACTTCACCCTTTAACACTCGATCACAGAACGCAACTGCCGTTATGGCGGTAATAAATGCTGACTAATATTCTAACGCGCACACGCGGCTCAGCACTTCTTCAAACTATTGACAGTTACTACACTGCGGCAAACAACTTTCGCTTTCCGTGAACATCCGCACGCGAGCAAGCACCAGGTAAGACTGTAACGCATTTCCCTGCAAGGCTGACCATCAAACTCACCACCACACCACCAAAAAAAAACCGGGGACTGCTCCTAGCGCGCTGGGTGAGGAGATGGCCACTTTAATGCTAAACCTTCGGAGCCCCGCGTTCGAGCGCGCACTTAGAGCTTACTTACCTTAAATTGCTCTTGACTTGCGTCCAGTGTCAGAGCCACCACCGACCGACCGGCTGACGGTCGCCGCCATTTAATCGGCATGTATTGTGTATCGTTTGGATGTGAAGCCTTGCACCGCTCGATCCGAACCGAACCGAATAACATCATCATCAAGTTCATAGTTCGAGCCTTGGAGCAGTGCAAAATTCCTGAAAGAAAGTGAAATTTCTCCCGACCGTGTACAATGACCTCCGCCGAGCCTACCCGTGAAGACGCGAATGACAATGCAAGCGAAGGACAAGGCGAGATCCGTTAATGGTTCAGCCTCTCGCTCTCCTCTTCCTCAACCAACCGGGCAAAATGCACGATCGGTGCAATTGTGTAAATGTATTGCTCACGTGGTTTTTTAACTGTTTTAGCAGGGCCACACGGTCAGTCGACGGCAGTGGTGATGAAATATGTATGTCATATTCATGTTGACCAATTTTGGGTTCACTGTTTACGGATATGGGATAGGTGGTTTTATTCGGTAACGCAACAACAAAGAAAAGGGTGTTTTGCTGACTTTGGTGAATTCTTCTGCGAAGAACGTTTTTCATACATGAGCTACTATTGGGCGTACGAAGTGATCGCCAGCTATTTTTGAGCCACTGTAGGCAAAATGGTAATGATAGAACAGTTGGGCTGAGGTCACTTCAGCCGATGGTTTTTGTTTAATTAATTGACGTCTTGCACACTGATTGACCTTATACTCTACGATATCAACATACAGTACTCGTTTGATTTTGGCAACAAGCTAGAAAATTTGGTGTTTTTCAAAATCAATCGGTCTTATTTTGAAATTTAATTTATGATTCAGTTGATTTTGAACTACAGTGAGTCATCTTTATGACATAGACGTTATTAATAATTAATCTTATATTAAAAGTGGCAGTCACAAAGAGCAAAAATACTTTAAATATCAGTTGGATATTGGCAAGGTGCCAAAATCAAAACGTGCCAAATCGTAAGTACTCAAAATGCAAATTCAAAAAATTCAAAGTTCATGGAATCTTTACAAAAATTGTAAATTTTTTACTTTTCCGGTTGTTTTGGCTGGTGGTTTTCATCATTTTTGTGCATTTTTTTCTGTTGGGTATGTTATCGTTGTACTTGCCACAAAATGGTGCAGGCTTTAAAAGCTCACAATTAATAACTGTGGAGTGCATCTAGAACACTAAGTTGAGAGCACGCAATAAAGGGTGTCCCACCACAAATTGCATCACGGAAAAAAACGCTGCAGAAATTTACCTAGTTGACCGATTCTTTTCAAACTTTCAGACAATAAAATATAACCTATTAGTAAGCTTTTGGCATATTTCTTTCATTCAACTTCAATACCATAACCGTACGCTCACACCTTACGCTTAACTCCACTCGTTGGGTTCTGTACAACATCTGGCTGCAGCTTATTCTGTACGGAAACCCTCTTTTTCTTCATGTCTTCCTCAGATTTGACCTCCTTGGGATGCTTCCGTAGTGCCTGCTTCATAATAGCCTATTATGAATGGGCCTTAGTTCCAGTGCGTTGGGAGGGTTCATGTCCTTGGGTACAAAAGTGACCCCGTTGGCTTCGTACCACTGCAGGACAACATTTGAATAGTGGCACGAAGCTAGATTCCGCCAGAAGATCGTAGGGCCCTCGTGTTGCTTCAACAGAGGAAGCAAACGCTTCTGTAGACATTCTTTGAGGTAGATCTCACAGACAATGAGGCTTTGTCAGCATCAGGGTTTAGTTTTCGGACCCGTGACACCGTACTAAGCCGTTCGTTCGTGATTTGAAGCCTTTTGCACTTCGTACGTATGCAGTCCCTCTCGGTCCTTGGCTCTCTGAACGAAAGACTTGGACAGATTCATTTTTTTGGCCATGGCCTGACCGATGCATTGGGATTCCGCTTAAACGCTTTCACGACACGCTTGTGATCCTGATCACTAGTAGAACATCCATTCTGACCGCATTTCTCCTTCCGTTCAATGCTCAGAGTTTCGTAGTAACGAATTCGCGACGTTGCTTTTCGGGTGACGCCATTTTTTCCAACTTTCGAAAAACTGACGCCGTTAAAAATACAGTGTACACTCTAAACTACTTCTACCCAAATTTTCAAGAAGAACTACCCGATGGGTAGTTTTCTACAGCGTTTTTTTTTTCTGCGATGCAATTTGATGTGGGACACCCTTTATAATTAGCAGTGATATTGGAAGCTGAAATGAAATCATTATTATCGTTTTGCCGTATTGCTTATTAAAACAGAGGTGTGAATTCAATTCAAACGCACCATTATAACCGTTTTTTCGCATATGTGAAGTCCTTCTCGTAGTAAATTCACTTAGCCGATGATATTTTCTGGAGGCCTCCACCATGTACGGTTACTAAAGTTGAATAGAAGCAAAAAAAAAATTGTTGACACCTAGAAGATGTTGATGAGAAAGTCGAAAGCAAATGTCAACAGTTCCGGCGTTACGCTTGTGACATGTCTAAAAAACATTTTTAGAAAGTGTTATGAAATCTTAAAGGCAGTAACGAGTCTTTCCTAACATGATTAAAATGACTGGAAATGACAGGTGGAATGGATTTCACTGAATTATTTTTTGACGTAGGATTACGTCTTTCAGCAACATATTGGGGGTACAATTTGAAAAAAAAAAACAAAATCGACCGCGTTACAAAAAGTGGTCAGGTTTTGACCACTTATAACTCTGTCAATAGTGGATGGATTTTAATTCTAAACAAGCCCATCGATTGGAAATTTTTCTACAAGTCCGCTAAAATGAACACTCTTTACATTTTCAATAGATCACTATTGAAAATTTCACAAATGACAAATTTATCAAGCCTGCAAACAAGTGGTGGTCGCCGAATATAGATGCCGAGCACGTAATTCTGCGTCAAATCTACGGTCGTGTCTTGGATACAACCTCTTTTTTAATATAAATTTTGTTTTCATTTTATTTTATTCAAAATGATGAGCCTTGGCATTATTCTTTAGAAGTATGAATAACGATTAATGTGGTAATTAAATAAGTTGGGGGAATTTATTACTATTTTTTTACTGGCCAGTATATTTCATTTTATATGCGCGTGTGTTGCTGGTCCGAAAGTGAGGATAACAAAATTCGCACTTGAAATTAAGCAGAATGGACAGTTTTTGGCAATTCGTTTTTGTATGTTGAATGTGAAGTTGTTTTTTTTAGAGGAGAAGGAAGAGACGGATTAGTAATTTCCATTTCATTACACTACCTTATTTGCTTATCCTTGACAGACACCCGTATTTCGTCTACAATGTGCAGATTTATTGAGTGTCTTGTACTAATACTCGACTTCGAGTTGGAGCTGGGTTTTAGTTGGATTTTGCCGGACGTGGGAAATTCAAAACTCATGAACCAAGCATCGTAGAAAGAACGATGTGTAGTAAAATGATTAGGAATCCATAAAAAATCGAGGGGGGCGACTCTATCTAAGATGCAGGAAAAAATAAATGGTTTGCTGTTGTAAGATGCCCACACGCTTAGTAGATAGGAAGAAGATTGATGAAGATTTTAAAGATTTCCTGCAAAATTGAGGAAAGCGATGGGAGTAGTTGGATTAAGATGCAAGAGATGAAAAACGATTTTTCGTGGATTCGTTAGTGTGAGATTTTTCGGCTATCTAGAATTGAGATTTAGATGTGTTGCATCCCCACCCACGTAACAATCTAAATGCTTGGAAGATTTATTCTTATTTTATCACTGTTTTTCATAGCATCCCTTGCAGTATGTGGTTGTATTATGGTTTTATGTGGTTGTCATAAAATCTGCCGTCAAGTTATCTATAAAACTATTTTATGACTACTAAATTAAAACTCAAACTTCATAGTTTAACGGCAGCTGAAGACTTGAAGCACTCTTATGCCTTCATTAAAACCTCATTACAACTATCATTCTTATCAGAGGCCTAAGCTTCACATATTAGAAGAATACTACAACAAAAATAAAAAATACTCTGAAAATTGTTACCGATAACAATAAACTTAGAAAATTAGTGCGTGGAAATTGTATAAATCGATTGGAACTATAATCCTCTCATCTGCCTTGGTGTCGGAAAACGCCTTCATCCTCTGGAGTTCTGCTTCTTCCTCTAGCCTGGGTTGGAATCCGTTGCCATTTGGATGTGGGACGTGAATGTTCTTCACGTAGCAATTTACAGCACTTGTTGCCTTGTGTTGTTACAAAATAAGAGAACAACTTAATTTGGAAGGCTTACTTGATTTGAGAGTCATTTTTTTCCCTATCCCATATGGCGCACTGAATGTATGCTCCTATTTTGTATAACAATCATTAAAATATTGCACGGCATGCTCTGAAGCTTAAACAGATTGGTTCAAAATTGTAATAAAGTCGTCTTATTTTCAATACACAACAATATCAGTCATTATTACAAACTGACATTGATCATGATTTCACATCGAACATCCAAAGAATAAACTCACAATAAAATATTTATCAATATTAACCATCATCCAAAAAAACCCACTTTAAACCTGCAAGGTTGTCAAAATGTTTTTCAAATCATGTTTTATCAATTTCCTCAGAAGTGATTTATGCGGTTGTAATATAGTTTTGTGGTAGTCGTCAAAAGGTTGTTAAAAGATTCATACCAGGAGGTGGTTTTATGCTTTCATTTTTAACAACCACGTGTAGAGTGTGATAAAACTAACATAAAACCTATGCTCCTAAGGTAGTTCGCATTTCTAGTTTTAATGATTGCATTAAAACTGGACCAAT